GCATGCTTTACTTGTAATTAAAAGATTCCTGTGTGTTTTCCTTCCCTGTAGGCGCTCGGTTGCATTTTCTTCTATCTTACCTGCGGCTATCATCCCTTTGGGGATTCGGCAAAGCTTGCCATTCTCAACGCCAATTATAACCTTCCTCCATGCACTCCTGAGACGGAACCCTTTCATAATCTGATTCGTAAGCCGACTCTTTGTACTCCCACTTACTGCACTGTATTTCTTGTATCCTGCATGCACACTCCTTGCGCACTCGGCGCATTTTATTGCCATTCTTTCAGCCAATCGGAGGAAAGTGATACTGCTTCATCCTTAAAAATAAATCAACTACCTTTGCTATCGCAGCAAATTTTAGCCGAAATTTGGAAACGTGAATGATGACTTCAGTGGGATTGCACTTTTAATTATCGCGGAGCATAATCCCACAATACTTTAGCTAACTTCAGTATGTCGGCTTTGGAATGAGGTCATTTCTCTTAAGGCCTGCACCAATTACAGTCTGGTACAAGGTCTGATTTTTCCTTAATGCTTTTTATGCCCTTATAATTTTCGATATACTTTTTCGTAAAAAAATTACGTCTTCTAGAGAAGCGTCAAAGGGATGTCTTTCGGTTTTCTAAATTACCGATTTATTTTGAAACTGACTAGTCGTTAAACTTGTATTCAGGGTTTCCAGTCTACAGTATGTATGGCATTTTAACTAAGGAATATCACACACTTCTCAGCAAGACGTCACGTGATGTTCATAGAATTTTGCAGTAGACGTGAACCGTGCTGTATACCTTACCAGCAGCATTATTAAATGGAGAAATACGATGCTTTATGAATGGAAATATCATAAACGGAAGGATACCCCGGTAGGACAGTCTTGTGGGCCGCCTAAAATAAATTCCGCCAGCCTATGGTCGAATTTCCGCCAATAGAAATTGTCTCTTATTCTTATTGGTCAATCAGGATCAGTAACCTAAGCAACGGGGTTTTGTGTTGGTCGATTTCTTTCTATTTAGCTCACTAAAACAATTATAAGTGGCTGTAATTTACTTTCCATTCTTCACTTTCTTCCCAATTAGCATGTAGTTACACTCCTTAATCCAGTATTTAACCTGTAACCATGATTACCGTAAGACACTTGGGCAGTGGAGTCTATTTTTAGGGGGTTTCACAAGCCAGTTTTGCCGATACCCCCTCTTCAAGCATAAAATCTAGAAAAGGCATAATTTATTACCAAATAAGTACCAAAAAGAATTTTTGAGAACACGAAGTTTT